CGGTAATTATTTTGTTTTCTTTCAAACTTATCATATGTTGCTACAACATTCACTTCCGGAAATGGAGCTGACCTAGTGGGACGGGCTTCATGATTTTCATTAATAGAGTATTATTCTGCTCTGCCACAAGTAGGCATGTGATTAACTCAGAATATTTCTTAAAATCTTTTTCACGGTATTGTTGTTGTAGCACCACATTTGAAGCGTGAAAAATAGAAAATATTTTTTCCAATAAGTCCTCATCTGTGATAGTGTCACCACATAATTTTAATAGAGAACTTACTTTAAAGATAGCAGAATTATACTCACTTACGGTTTTAAAGTCTTGCAGCCTTAAATGTATCCATTCATACCGAGCTTTCGGTAATACCGTAAGTTTTAGGTGGTCATACCGATTCTTCAAATTAATCCATAATTCAAGTGGATCTTTTACGGTTAAATATTCAGTTTTTAACCCTTCATGTAGATGAGGATGAAGGAAAATCATGGCCTTTGCTTTATCCTGATTTGATGCTTCATTTCCTTGTATAATAGTATTTACAAGACCTTTAGCGTCAAGGTGAATTTCAGCATCAAGGACCCAGGATAAATAGTTCCTCCCGGTGATGTCAGGTGCCACAAATTCAAGTTTTGCTAAATTTGACATAGTGAAAACTTAATAAAATATGGCTCAATTTAGCGGGAGTTAAGAATAAAATTAGAGCTTCGTGCTGATAATGTATTATAAAATAAAAGCAATGCAGTAAAATGTAAATAAGAAGAGATAGAAAGAAGGAAGAAGTCTTTTCTTCTTTCACTTTGGTGTATATTTCCATTGCAATTACATAGCCTTTTATAGGCATAAAAGGTAAAGATGATGGACATAAAGTAGGAGATTTAATCTTTAAGCTATTCACAACATGAGCATCCAATATAACATCCAATATACAAACTATGTTATTCACAACATAGACATCCAATATAGCATCAAATGTACAAACTATTTATAAACAGTATAGCAATTGTATATTTTTAATTTTGTTTGTAAATAAACATGTCTGAACCCATGCTCAAATGGGCAATTTGGCTTAATGGTCAATGAGTGCTCCTTTGCCCCAGGGGTTCAATCCCTATTTGGTCCCTCTGACTTTTCAATTTAAAGTACTTATGCTTCATTATTGTTTCTTTCTTTTTTTTCTTTGAAAAAGAGAACTTCAAAATTGAAAGATTAATTTCTCAAAAAAATTTATGTTTTGTCAGGAAATAAAGTATTAGAAAAACATAATAAAATTAGTCTTATACTCTACTGTAATCAAAAGCTAATAATGCAAATCATGTATCTACATTTACATATACCTATATAATAGGATGGATGAATTTTTTTAAAATGACTTTTAGCTTGCTATATATAACGTAAGATATTTAAAACTATAAGTAATGATTCTATTATTGATAATTTTGAAAGTATGAAAATTTGTCAGAGGATATAAATAATGCTAATAATATTAATTAGAGTTTGCTAGTCAACTTTGGCCATCATACAAAAATTTATATAGTTAAATAATATATTTATCTAAAGATAGTGATGCACTCGTGCTTTTAAAATCTTAGATACGCCTCTGTCTCGAAAGTACTTTACCTTAATATAGAAATTGATATGGACCACCCACATCGTTCAAAGGGGGGGAAATGGCATAATTCTTGTTTACCTTAAAATATACTATGTAAGAATGTTATTAGTTTGATTCTTTTATAATGTTAAAATTTTATCCATTCTAATAAAATACTTAGATAATGTTAAAAAGTGCATCTCCGAAAATATATACTTCTACACCTAGTAAGGCACCATCCTTTGAAATGAATCTTTGGTAGAGGAAAATTAGGAATATTTTGAAAGTGTGGGCTATAAAAGGAGAAACAAGAAGCAGCCATATATTAATTCAAGTGACAGGTAAATTATAAAAGATTGCTGCATTTGCATGTGCAAATTCATCACCCCTGACTGCATAGTTACTAGTTTGTTTTCCCAAAGCATAGAAAGACAAAGCTGTCGTGAGAAATTTTCAATGAAAACACACCACACAGTAGAAGGAAAGGGGAACACGCAATCAGTGGTTTTGAGACTGTCAAAACATGTGAATGATACTACAAGCTAACAAGCCGTCTATATACAAATTTAGCAATATTATGATTTTTCAACTCACTTCTATTGCAAAAAAATAAACACACTCGTTTTAACCAGGGGAAAAAAATTCGTCTGCACTTCCTCATTTATTATCTCCAATTATACTTGATTTGATTCGGACCAAAATTATCCTAGGACATCCCAATATGAAATGGATATACCAAGATTTTGGTACAAAATTCCAAATTTATAAGTATCCCAATCCCACCAAACGGTTCGAGGGAGTTTACATTCCTTTTTCCTTAGAAATGGGGTTAGGAAGGAAGCAGTTGGCTTGCCATTGAGGGTGTGTATTCAGGTATTTGACAAAAGTTCTTTAAGTATTATCTAAGTGTAAACTTTTTGTCTTTTCATTTAAAACCTGCAATACAATGCAATCAAATCAATGTAGGTTAGAATGGACACTTATCACAAACCAAAAAGTGGAGCACATTTGCATAAAAATCTCAGGCCACATGCACCGCGACAATGGTCATACCCAAGAAACGCAAGGAATTAAACTGCCGGATTCTCACACCCCAAAAATGATGAAAGCTGCAATGTAAAAGCCAGAAACATTTCAAGGTGGAACCTTTTGAAAACTCTTTAAATCTAATGTAATAGAGCCTGATTTTCGTCAAATCTGATGTGTTCTTACCCAGCAACCCTGAATTTCTCATTCGGAAAACAGGATAAAAAAGGATTTGTTAGAAAGAAACTTCTTTATACTTAAAACGAACCCCAACTTTTATGTTATTAAATTGGAATCACTAAATCGAAAGATAACCCAAAATAAATGTCCATCACAAGCACAAACAAGCACTAAAGATGTAACCACAACATTCCTTGCTCGATTCCAGGATGCCTTATGCTTCTTTCTCCCAACCCCTTGTAATCCTAGGCACCAAACAACAGTCGTCAACTGAGAGCCCCACGGATGTAGAAGACAACTTTGATAATACTGCAGCTCATCAGCTCATAAACTCAGAATCTTCCATTATATTTTTTCAAGCTTTTCAGCCTTAACAACTGGGTTGGCTTTCGCAATAGCATCTTGAGCAGCCTTGTGATAATCATAGGGACAGTCATGCTTGTCAGAGTAGCGATGGGCTGAGCAGAAAAGATGCCCACATCGGCAATTGAAGCCAGTCAAACCAACTCGTTTCCTACAGGTATTGCACCGGTTTGGCCCCACTTTAGCCTTCTCTACATTATCGTTCTCTGGTGGTACACATACAACTTGTTTGGGTATTACCAGGGACTCTGCTGGACCTTCCTGAACCCCCACAGCAACATCAACAGCTTTTGCAGTGGCGCTTGAACTTCCATTCACAAAGCTCTCAATGGATGAAGCAGCAAGTTCAGCTTGTTCTTGCTTAAACATCATGTCCTTGTAGCACTTTGAGCACATGTTCATTGTTGTTGCAGTTCCAAAAAACCCACAATTGTTAACACAAAGGGTAGGAGCTTGAGGAGCTTGGCAGCCTGCGTCATTTTGCTCCATCTTAAATTTTCCTGGAAAAAAGGAGTTAATGTACCATTATAGCAACCGCGAGATACAATATCCCTAATTTCATTTTACCCCACTGCATTGCATGCGTTCTTAAAGAGAATACCAAGTATGCGTTCTTACCCCACTGCCAAGTATACCTAGTTATATTGGAAAGTGAAAACTTCTCATTTCCTTGAAAGGCAATTCATGATGGTAATTTATCAGCTGATACATGATGATGGACTGCATTGACATATTGCAGTAATTTGTTTTGTATGTCCGAGCAGCATAGGGAAAAGGGCAAGATACAACCAAGACCTCAAGAAAATGACAGAATCAAACGCCAAAGCAACACGGGTTATTCTTATGCTAATGTCTCCTAATGGTCTGACGACCAACCAATAGCTAGCTGCCTGCCACTTAAGCCTCATAACTAAAATACATATAAATTTCAATAACCATGGATTGCCTCCATATCTTGTTTTTTACTAGGTGAAATCACGCCTTCAGAGACTGCCAACAAGAACTATTACCATATTGGGCCCATAATATTATAAACACAACTATAATCCACCTTCTGTTGTTGCCTTGCCCCACGGATACATCAATGTAATCACCACTACCCCATCTTAGAAAATCACCACAAGCCCATAGCCAGAAGAGCTTGACATGACTGTACCCATTCAGGATTATCAAAAGGAATAGACAGGGTACAAGGAAAGGGTGCTACTAAATGGACATTGTTGCAGTCAGTTGTAAGTTTAGAATAGGCCTTATTTCCAAGGCTAGTACCCATTTTCCCTTTGGCCGATCATTCTCAAATTCAGATCTAGACCACCTATATAGCATATTAAAATTCACTACCTTCCGTTTAAGATACTGCCACAATTATACGTACTTATGAAGCAGATCAACAGTGGAAGTCGAGAATATAGAACAGTGAGGCGGTCAATGAAAATTCATGGGGAGGTCCGACGCTCGAGTTAAGCTAAGTACTTGTAAGGGTCGCATAACACATGTATGGCCAGAATGTAGAAGATTGAAGGGAAACTTTGCAGACTTACATGGTAAGTCAAAAGGGAGTCGGAAACTAAGAAGGACAAGAAAAGGAAATGATGACTAACAGCTGAAGGCTGTGTCGCCCTAGAAAATGCTGAACAAAGAGAGATGCATGTAGGAGGTAACTGCATTGAAAGAAATCAAACTAAGCTCAGATATAGAACACCAAAACTAGTCCCACATGTTCCTCTCACCTCTGTGACAAATAAACTTTGGAGAAAAAATATACCATTTCCAAAACAGTTGATGAGTAGAGAGAGTAAGAGCAGCAGAGCACTGAAAACTCAGCAATTGGGGAATACTACCTCCGCAAGCTAAAAAATACTATTCTTCTTACTCCACTATCAGGAAGCCAGCAAACACTTTCCAAATAGGATACAGTGACAATACCCCTAAGATAGCTTGACAGTATCCTTAGCAGACTTCCATATGCACACATCCTTCAGCGAGACAATATGATTATTGAAGGTGCTAAGAAGGGACGCAAACTTAAGATTACATAGAGGAAAATTATCTCAAAGAACCTATAGTTTCACAGAATAAACATGGACTCAACAAAAAACAAAAAAACAATAGGAGCAAATATTGGTGAGAATAACTAGTTGGAATTCAAGCATAATTATAAAATCACACTTATATTAAAATCTTCTTATCATCCAGTATAAACTTGTCTGTTTGTGTAGAGATAGATATTAGAGCACCTCAACTTTCACAAATCCTTAATTTCCAGTAAAGGCAAATTATTTAGTATTGTGAAAAGAAACTTGAATAAATCAAAGTATATCGAAGGAGCTACTTGGGGATTGAGGCATAGTGAATGGATATGAATGCACCAGAGGTCAAAGGGCCATACCATTCTCCCCAATCTTTCTCCCAAAAAAAATAATATATATATATTGGATACTATTCAAAGGGCTCTCATCACCTTCAAGGAAATCCATTATATTAATTGGAAGACTCTAAACTCAGCCAATAAATTCAGTCCATAGCCACGTTGTGGGTTGATAGTAACTTTTTATACATTGAACATATAAAATTTTGAAATTTCTTCAGGCTTACCATAAACTTTTTTGTTGACAAAGCTATATAAAAGAAAAAAGCTAGATGCTTTTAATATTTTATAATTGCTAAAAGGTAGTACTAAAGCTGAGCTAATGAATCTCTATTCATCTCCCCCTCTTGCAAAATCAACAAAAGCATGACCCATAGAATAAGAGCACGCAAGTTCAGCTATTTTGGTTTGTTTGGATTGAATCAAGTATAAACCTCCCTGCTGAGATCAAAAGTGAACTGACAACTACACCCTACAACCCAATTTCAATTAAAAAAAAAACCCTCACCTGTTCGCAGAAGACAGAACAAAATCCAATTTTCGCCTCCTATCCCTTCAAAAGAGCAAATAAACATATTAAACCACAGAGAACCTACCATACCACTTCAAGCACTTGAAAAAAGGTAACAATAATATAAAACAAAAGATGAAAACCATAAACAGCCGAAAGTATAGTAGTAATAATTTTGCAGCGATAATCAAACCCAGTAAGAGAAAAAAGATGAAGAAAACTAACCCTAGAAACGAACAGGAAAAAGTGTGGAAGAAAGTGGAGAAAAAGAAATTATTTATTATATAGAGGTGGAAAGAGAGAAAGTGGAGTTTTACTTGGAGGTGGAAAAGTAGTTAGCAATGCTTAACACGTGTTGACTTCCAATTGGATATTTAGGTGAAAAGGCGGTGGGCGTGAGTATAGGAGATTATACCTGAAAAGGCACGCATGTTGCGCTTCGGCTTAGTTTAGTGGGTTGCTGTTGTTGATTTGAATCATGTGAAACGTGGCATGTTACGTTACGTGCTGTTGATCGGCTTCTAACCGACTTATCAAAGTCAAATTCAAATTATCTTTGTACGTACTTGTGTTTGTTCTAGTTGAAATGGGGCGGGTTCATCGTTTTAACTCGCCAACCCGACCCCTAACTACCTCATGTAGCTGTAGTCTCAGGTTGGCCAAACTCTCTAGTGGGCTTGAGTTGCTTCTACAACTTTTGGCCCATAACTAAAAGAATAAAATCCTTTCCTTCTATGGGTCTTTTTGTGCCGTTTTTCCGGCAAACCCTTCTTCTTCTTGAAATCTTTTTTATGGGATTTCTTTCTTTTGGATGGTATATCAATGGCGAATTGTTCACAGAATTCACCTAATTGTTGTCTTTCAGTGAGACGATGTTTCTTAATTTATTGGTTTAGCTTGATCTCATTATACAGAGTTAAACCATTCTGAGTACATACACTAAATAGTTTACCATATGAGTAATTATTATAATCAATACTCATCCATGTGCATCTAAGGACTTTTCTAATCCTTTCAGCAAATAAGGGAGGGAGCCTATCTATGAATTTGGACTTCCAATGAGTACTATTACTCTCTGGCAGTTGCATCACTCTGGACAAGAAAACATCTTTATACCATCTAAAAGATGTGAGGGTTTTACACCTCAAATTCTGGAGCATTGTTTTAATGGTCTCACTATTATCAGACCATCTTCCAGAAAAGTGTTCGATAATATTCATGACTAAAGAATAGATTAAGTTTTGAACGGTCTTTTCATCTTCAGTCTTGGTTGCATTCATTATTTGAAAGCGTTGCTCATTAGTGAGATAATTATCCCATCAGCCTTTCAACTGACCAGTAAATCCAGCAATAATCATTTCTGCTATTGCTCTATCTGTATTTTTATTAACTTTACAAATAGTACTGTACATAAGCATTCTATGTATTGTTGTATATATTTACCTTTCAACAAGACCATCTATGTTCCATTCATAGATATCTGACCCACTATAACCTTGGTAGTAGTGGTCATTGTCCTGTTCTTCTATTAGAACATCTTGAGAGGTTGGTCTAGGATAGTAAAACATTCTTTGGTAAGGTTTCTGAGCATACTTTTCAGATATCTTATTAATCTTGTCATCTACTTTCAGATTGCTAGTAGATGCATGCTCTAAACTTAGAGGACTAACTCTAAATTTACCTAACTTCTTAACAAGAAGTTCTTCAATATTTTCTAGACTTACGTCATCTAGACTTTTCAATTTAAAGTCTTTTACCTCAGGAGGTGGTTGGATACTTGTAATAGCGATTTTCTCTTTACCTTTAGTATCCTTCTGTTGGATTTTTTGGACCTAAGCTATAAGCTTGTCCAATATCTCATGAATCTTAATTACATGTTCACCCAGAATACTCATATATATATATATATTAGTATAATTATTCTGAGTAAGCATGGTATTCAAATTCTTAGCAGTTATAGTAGCAATATCATTTTCAAATATTTTTGAAAAAGCAGTGTAGTAAATAATTTTATCTTTTTCCCCTACATGAAAAGGTTGTTGGGGTGGAAAAATAGAATTAACAATATTTCCATTTGTGAGCGTATAGTCTCTCTCTAACACAGAAATATAGTTATAAACATGCTTAAACATAAACCATGGAACAAAAGCAATAATTTTATTTTTTTGCTAATGTCTGCATAAAAGTCATGTCTAAAAAATTGTACCAATTCAGGAGTCATGTTTTCATGAAATCATTTTCTGAAAACAGTCCATCTGGGTTTTAGAAATTCTTCTAAAATCATTTTTCTTGCCGGTAAATCCGGACTAAAATCTATTTGGTTTTCAATCATTTTTAAACCCATTTGAAAAATCCATTTCGGATGCAGTTGGTTCAAGATTTGTATTAATCTTGACGATATTATCACTGCTGATGCTAATATCATTTATTCTATTGCTTTTTCTAATTTGAGATGTGGATACTCTAGATAGAAAATCCACCACGTAATCAATTGGAGAAATGTATGAAGAATTTGATCTAGTCAACCTAGATGATAAACTGATATTATCAGTTTGTACGGGTTCATTGAACCTGATTTTAACAGTGTCATCTGAGGTTTGTTCTATTTATGTAACCTCAGTATTACCAGTATTTCGAGGTGCAACAGCTTCCTCTATGACCCATTCTTTAGGGAAATCAATTTTATCTCATTTAATAGGTCTTCTGGTGGTTACTTTGGATTTGCCAAAGTTGGTTTCTATAAGAATAGTTTCATTTTTGAAGTCCATGATTTTGTACATAGAATTCAAAGTATATAGAGGTTTGTAATAAATCCCATAACAGATACATATGACTTCTGTACCAGGTAAATAATCATAACCATATAATTTAATGTTAAGTATTAAAGTATTTAAAGAATTCTCATCATTAAGAGAAATTTGGAAATTGGGATAAGCATTAAAATAAACAGGGTCATAGGCCAAACTAGTTTGCACAATCCCTATAAGAGATTTTTTCTAGTTCTGGTTTCTGCCATCTCTGAGAGCTGCTATGAAACTTTCAGGTAAGCCTCTTAACGTAAGTGGCTTAAAGGCGACTTGTATTAAGCCTATATGTATAAATCTATGTGAATCCCTATAAGGGGCTAAATCACTTTCAGATAATAATCTGAACGTAGCATGATCACTATCTACGGTGATAGTCTCTTCAGTAGTTTTAACTATTTGTTTTAAACCTATTCTTTCGAAGGTACCTAACTGGTATATTACCTTAGGCTTGACTAATGGTATAGTCCACTTATTAAGCAAATCTAATTGTTGAGGCAATTCATATTCTTCTTTTCTACGGTTTTTAACAGTAGTCTTCTTCCTAATGATATTCATTAAGAAAATAGTGTTAAACTTAGCTTCTAAGGTTTTTTACTAACATGGCTCTAATACCAAGAGGATACAAGATCGCTTCCGAATAGGGCTCGGGAATGAATTACAAGAACACCAGTCCTGGCCAGCTACTAACTTCTACAATAAATTTTAAACCACGAGGCTCCTCACAACCCTTCAACGACCACTTGTCTAAACGAGTTTACTAGCCCCACCGGTTAGGTTGGCCTAACCAAGGTCTACTGTGAGATTGGTAACTGCCTGGTCTATATAGTTCTTAACCCAAAACCCCATCGGGTTGACATAGTAAACTCCTAACTACCAAGCATGCATAGTAAATAACCTTCAAGAACCAAGTTTAACACTTACCTGTTTAGCCTATCATTTAGGCTAACAGTACCGCAAGAATAGAAGAGAAAAGGAGAAGAACAGTACCAGACCAGGGACCCTTAGTTGTGGCTAAGCGACCTTTTTGATTTTATTTCAAAATGGAAAATACTACAGAAGGGGTTCTTTACAAGTGGAGTGAGAGACTAGAGAGAAGGCGGAGCTTATATTTTGGCTAATGCTTGCCTCTAAAGAATGGAAAATGATCCTTATATAATGGATCAGTCTACAAACAAACAAAACTAAAAAGTAGAACTGGCCAACAAAATAATTACAGGTGTGACCGACAAGATAAAAAGATAATGTTCTATAATTACAAACAGACAAATTGCTTTATAAAAGCAGATTCCCTTCAATAATAGAGGAACCCTTTACTTTATTAAAGTTGTCTTCATTACCCCAATAATTTATCTGATGGGGCCTTCAATAATTCAGACTTTACTTTTTCCTTTGTCGTTTTTCTCCGAAGATTCTTCGGCATTTTCCTTTAGCTTTGTAAGGAAATCTTCAATTTCTTCAATATTGATTTCTGTGTACGAGGGGCTCTGAGCTTCACCTGCTGCACATATTTCGTCATTTGAAGTGCTTCCAATGGAGGCCATAGAGATATCATCTCTAATTGTTGTTTCAAAATTTCTTGCTAGATCCTTTTTTATTTCTTCAAAATACGAGGCAAGGATCTCTTTCTTTGATATAGCCCCTTTCTTCATTTGGAGCTTCTTTGTGATTATTTCAAAAGGACTTAATTTTTTCTCTGCAACCTGTGTTCTGTCTAATTTGACATAGGCCTCTATTTTAGCCTATATTTGTTGGATTAACTCTTCACCATATAACTTCCCTTGCTGATTGGACTGGAGTAATTTTGTCCAAAACTTGTGATAAAAGATTCTATTTAAACAGGGAATTCCTTCACTGGTATAACCAACTTGTACATCCCATTTCATTATCCACGGGATAGAAAATTCTATGAAAAAGTACATGGCAGCAATGCCCTCATAAAAGATATTATCTTTTTGTAATGAAATAATTTTTGGAGATATATCTACCCATTGAGAATATAAGCTTTTAAATAGGCTTGGAAGTATTTCTAATGATGGACCGTATAACTTCCACCATTTGAAGAACCAATTTGGGATTTGTTGTCCAAACATATTAGGACAGAGTTTAATAAACTAGGAATGTTTCCTATTAGAATTTTCATAAAGGAAAGTTTTATTAAAACTCTCTACATAGTCCCAATAATTAAATTTGACCGAAGTTTTTTGGTCAGGATGTGTATATTCACGATCCTTGAGGGTACTGATACTCCATTCATCAAAAGGTATAACCTTTTTAAGAATGATTTTCGAAAAACTATAAGTTTTTCTGGTATTAGCAGGATAAAAGTGCTGAATTTCAGCGGATCCTGTTGTTGAGATAATCTCATAGTGCATCCTGTATTTATAAGTAGGAGTAGTGTATGACGTTGTATCAAAATACCTAGCCATTATTTGCCAAGGGTTATCCTTCTATTTAAGGTCGGATTGTTCCAAAAGAATTATTAACTC